TAATGGTCTTTATTATCCATGAATGAGTGAGATTATGTGGTATTTTTCCTTCATTGACTGGCTTATTTCACTTAGCATAATGCTCTCCAGTTCCATCCATGCCGTTGCAAATGGTAGAAATTCTAATGTACTTTGGAGGAACACATTTTAACCCTCTTACATCTGTTGTTCCCACTTGATAAACTGACAACTCTTGTCTTGTTCTCATTTCAGGATCTTTAGAGTTGCTATTCCCTCTTTTTAGAATATTCTACTTCCAATTTTTTATACAACAGGTTTTACTCAACTTTCAAGCCTGAGCACTATCATCTGGCAAGAACCATCCCAGACCACCTTGTTTAAATTAACCCTAAAAGTCCCTCTATCATGTCACTTTTTTTTTCTTCCATGGCACTCACCAGAATGCCAGCTCCAGGAAAAGGAGGTTATGTGTTTTTCTCAACTATTGTAGCCCAGATATCAGCCCAGTGTCTTATGACACTGGACTAATGAACTCATGGGCCAATGAATTTTATAACCACTTACCACAGTATAATGACTTTATTTAATCCACTGAGAAAACCTGCCCAGGAGGGGTCACATTTTTATGAAACTTTTTGAATCTCAGCTCCAACACTTACTAACCGTGAGATCTCTGGCAAGTCACTTAACCTCTGTGGGCCTCAGGTTCCCCAACTGTACGACAATTCCTTCTTCAGAGTTCTTCTGAAGATTAAATAACATAAGGCTCGTATGCTACCCTGCACAAGACTTTGGCCTATCGCACACGCTATTAATTGAAATGCTAATGGACTGGATGTTTTCCAAAGTGCGGCACCTGTGGATAGCGTGAAAATGTCTTTAGGGGGTACAGACCATTGAAGCTATTATCGTTTCAATTCTTTGGATTAAAATAAGGCCTTCTTTCCTCATATGTCTTTACTATCTCCTGCTTTTCTTTTTAACGGAAATAGCATGTAGGTTCAAGGACACACAACAGTTAATACGTGAATTTAACATTGTTTTCTATTGCATTTCTGAAGCCAGGCTGCCCGGGTTTACACCCACCTCCCTCAGTCTGACTTCAGTCCAGTTAAGGAACCTCTCTATTCCTCAACTTACTCAAATGCAACGCGGGGACAAGGACAGTACCACCTCCACGGGGTGTCGTGAATATAAAATGAACTATTACGCGTAAAGCGATGCAGGACATAGGAAGCCCGCCATCCACGTTAGAAACATGTGAAAGAAACGGTCCAGGCGGGAAGGTTTGGCAACAGTCTCAAAGGTCTCACCAGGACAACTGAGTCAGCGACGCGCGGCAGGACCGGGCCTGTGAGGCTGGGCGGCACTCGCCACCGCCAGACCTGCGGCTCGGCCGGGCGCGGGGTCTGAGGGGCCGGCCGAAGCCCCCGAGGGACCAGAGCTCGGGCCTCCTCCGGCTTCGGCCTCTTTGGGTCTCCCTCCCGTTGTTGAGAGACTCGTCCCTGCGTGGGCGGTCGCGCCCTTACCCTGAGTTTCCTCCACAGGTAAGCTCTCCCCGGAGGCGGACGCGAAGAGCCCGGGAGTGTTCTGGCGCGAGAAACAGGGGCGGGGCCACGGGGCGGGGCGGCGCACGCTAC